AAGGGGGAAGCTACTGTGGGTCAGGCATATAATTCGGCTCACCGACAGGAGATGGTCGGCGCTGATCGTCAACTTGTGCCCTCGCGAACAGAATACGCCGCTAGGTCGTCCACCACGACGGTGGTATGATTATATCAGCAGTCGAAGAGACCATGCTTGGAGGGAAAAGGCTCTAAACCGTGAGAAATGGCTCTCAGGTAACGGCCAGCGCGATTTGTCGCGAATTACACGCCGCCCCATGTGCTCAGTGGTCCAAATCAGCTCGTGCGACATACATTCATAAATCTTAGTGTTTTTTCTTCATCACTGTTACCGGCTTTTCTGACCATTCGTTGGAACATGTTCAAACAGAAACTGTTCATGTTTGACTGGTCGGTTATGTGGGAATGAAGAATCGTCCACAGTTGGCTACTAAACTGCCGCCCACAGGAAATGTTTCGATGACAACGGTCAATATGAAATGATTCGTACTTCTGTTTGTGCATTCAGCCATTTATCTTTTTTCTAGCTCAGGGAAGGTCTGTCGGCAAAGCCCAAAGCTCACGTCGAAAAGTTGGCATGGTTCAAACCCAAGTTGAACCAATTTCATCTTATCGAAGTAAATAAATAAACAGAATCACCAGAAGGAAGCAAAGAAATTATACGTTAGCATGGCCATCTATATGTTGGTAGTGCCTTTAAAAAATCTGTTTGCTGAGATCATAACATTTATACGCTTGCATAAGGTGGACGTCTCTGGTTTGTGATGGCTACTTCATTCTCGGCATTACGGCACCTATGTGGTACCGCATACTTCATCGCAGAAGGAAATTTTCACCGTTACCTTGTTCCTCCATGTTGAATGCTGACCCTCTGGTAGACGTGTACCGTGCTTTGGTCTCCATACAAGGAGTTCATGAGCTGGAATAGATGGTTTATGTTAAAGTATTTTGTCAAACAGAGCCAATCTCCTATTCTCAACCTTCCAATGATAATAGTGTAATAGTGTAACAGTGTAATTCCATACGTTGTTTTGCCACTTAACCATGATCATGCGTCAAAGTCAACGCTGCTAGGCGCAGTTAAACCATCGTTCTTGTTCCTTCGTTAGACCAACTATATCCATACAGTGCGACAACGCTGACCTGACAGAGGCAGGGTACAAGCGGATTTTTGTGGAAAGATTAATCCTCTCAGCCCAGATACTGGACAGACTTTCAAAAGGACTCCAGGATTAGTCAAGCTCCTCGAGCGGTTCACTTCCCTGTTCTACTTGGACATCGGCTGTGTGGCATGAGTTCCTCAACTTATGACTGCCATTACAGAAGAGGTCATCTTTCGCAACTGTGCCGCTTGAGGAAGTCGTCAGATGGCGCCTCCAGAACCCCGTAACGTTTATCAGGACAATGCCCTGCGCGTCTTTTGGTCAGCAAGATATCTAATCGGATGTCCTGAACAGCCCATTTTTTGCAGAAAAAGACCTTCGTTTTTGCCATTGTAAAAAACACTGAGTTATCCTGATTCAAAGACTATATTCTGACTTCAGTCGCATCATATACTCAGTGAAAGAAAGGTGTCAAAACAGTGCCAAAAATGCGGAAAAGGAAAAGACGGCAGATATCGCAACATTTGCAGGCATGTTTGACCCCTTTTCGTGTTGATTGGCTTTGCTTTGGCGAGATGCCAATGCATCTTTGCTGAGAGATGCATATTTATTATCTAACGAGAGAGAGCAACTTGAATCGGTTCCACTTGATCCATTCGTTAACGCCCGATTTGACGTCAATTTTAAAATACTTGTACGCTGTCGAAGCAGTTCGTTCTGTTCGACTGACACAGCTGGCCATGTAAAGGGTATGATGGATCACGCACTACTAAAGAACAAAGGTCATTGCCAAGGTGCAAAGAATGATCTATATGCAAAGTAAAGGAGTGTTCCCACGGTGGACACCCGGTTCACATTTATTTACTGACGAATAATCAAGAGTCATACACTGCGCAGGTGGCCACACCTCTTCCATTCTTCGTTCGCTCCTGCTTTCCTCCAAAGCAGCAGCCCTTGCAAACCAGAGATAGAATCGTCCCATCATTTTTGAAGGAGGGCCAGCGACCTGTCCGATCCCCACGGTTGTCACTATACAAGAGCAGCTTTCCGTCGGTTTACAATAAACTGAGATATGCACGCAGCCAATCGCATCTTGCTCTTTGTTTTCTACAATGATGCATTTTACTCTAGTTTGCTGTCAGTTGCATCAACTGGGGAGATGGTTCTGCAACGAAATTCCCAACATTTTTGTTTTCATGACTTTTTGGTAACAGACGGATGACACTCCTTGTCTTTCATCGGCTAGCATGTTAGGCAGCCATACTGCATCGCGGTTATGAGATCGTTTCGAAGAAGTAGGGCATCGTTGATCTGTCGGTCCTTCCATGTAGAACATCCTTCATACGGCTGAACGCCAGCCAGCTTGCTACCAGTTTCCCACTGAGTCAGATCTCGACGTTCTGATCGCATCAAATGTTAACTTGCTGGTCCGAATAGATGCAACTTAACTCTTCTTATATTCCTTCGTCATTTTGGCCTTCTGCAGTATCTGATTGCATGAAGTTTGTGTGCGATCGATTGATTTTTTATCCGATTATGCTGTTTTCTTTGTAGAGTTATTGCAGGATTTCTTGAAGTTGGGTGGTATTTTCCTCGATCAATACACCGTCACCAGTGAATGCGAGGCGACTCTCTGTTATGGTGTTCATTCACATAAGCCATACTAATGAAGAAACAACAACATCGTAAAAAGCTTGTCGTTGAAAGTTTTCTCGAAGTTAACAATGATCGACACAGTCGAGCCAAAGCCACTAGCTTAAAGTGTGAGTTATGCGTTCATCTCGTTCTTGAATCAATCGTCAATCGCAGCTGATGGCTGCAGCGGCTGCGTCGTCTAAGGTAGTGGAGAAGTTAAAGAGTTTATGACTGTAAATGATCCTCACTTTCCTCCATTTCCGACCACTTGCTGACGATCGAATATGGATCCTTATGTGAGTGCAGCGAAGACATCCTTGTTGAAGCTTCCGCCGCCGTCAGTCGCTTAAGCACCTGAAAAAATGATCGATGTTACGTTTGACTTTTCGCCAGTGCTTCGCTCTTTCGCTTGTGTTTGATATGGATTTTGCATCAGTACGAGGAAAATCGAATCTCGTTTCTTTCGGCACGGTAGATGAATGGCCAAGTGATCGGTGTGCGGCAAAAGCGGCGGCACTCGCTCGGATGGGTCGATGTGCTCACTGCGTCGAACGCCGGCGAGACACGGTGAAGTTCGCGCTGTGCCACTGCCGCGGTCGCTGGTCGTCGACGACGTCGCCCGGCTTGTGGTCGTCGCAATTTGACTCGCTGAAAATTTCACGGCAGTTCATGAGAGCATTTCAGAGTGGAAGCGGCACGAAGAGTTGGACGAAGAGACGGATAGCAAAGAGGGACAACAGAAACGGGTCAACAACGACGGCCACGGCAAAATCCGAGTCCTCGCAGCATCGCAGACCGACCACCGTTCCGGCCGCCGGCCTCGGCTACCTCGATCCGTATCGCAGCGGTCGTCCGAGTGACAGAGTGACAGAGTGACATACGCCTGGACCGAAACGGATCTAGTTCTGGCGGTCAATTGGGCGAACGATGAACGCTTCTGACCGCTTAAATGGAATGTAATAGTTCAGGTAAGCGTGGCTTTTTCGCACTGTGAATCGGTGCTACCTTCGCATCCCTTTAACTGTTCTTCCAGTGACCGCCGCCGTCGCCGTTGCCACCGTCTCCATCGCCTCCTCATGCAACGTTTCCAGCGAGTGCCGTTGTCGAAACGAAACCATCGGCGACGGTAAGCAGTTTCTGCCAGAAGCAATCTCTGCTTCTGACTCTAATATATTCGCCAGTTCTCAACGTCGTTTCGTACAGCTCGATCTGCCTGCCGCCTTGTTGCCGTTTCTAGATCGTGTGGGCGTCTCGATGAGGTCATTATTACTTCGTGTTCCCCGGTCCTTACGTCTGAAATACTTACAGCCCTCATTTTTCTCGTCATACTGGCGGATAAATTTGCGGTTGTTCGCCGATCCTTTGCGAACCTACGCGTCATTCTATCCTGATATTTTATTTAAGCTTTTCCCTCACTCTGTTATCAGTAGGGACCAGAAAAGGAGCCCTTAACTCTACCGTAACAAAAAATTTCCAAGCTGTGAAAAGCAGTGCGTTCGTTAAGAAGGAATGAATTATTTAATTCACACACCATTCGTCAACTTCGTCAAATTCTGCGGATTCACATTTTAACGCCCTGTTCCTTCACCGGATTTCCAAGACGTATACGCACTGTCCCCTTGCATTTAGATGCTAAGGCGATCATTACAACAGGCCACGGTTCTATGGAGTTGGATTATGGGTTATGCATGCATGTCATACCACATTTTAGTGTTGGGTCGAACAGATAATCAATTCGTGCTCAGACGAGCATTTGTCCAACAGTTGTCAGGATCATTTCTTAGCGAGTGACAGCGAATTTATTGCTCTCGCGAAATGAGTTGTGCGGTGAACGATTCCCGTTAACAACTTTCCATCCCAACATTACATCACAACTTAGGTATCTAGGAGCCAAGAAATCCGTGACTCCAGCAGTCAACACAACAAGAGGCAAATTTCGTGTTGCATATTAGAACATTTGTTCCTCGTCTGACGGAGGTAAGTTGGATGACGTCTGCAGCATGGCCAGCTTGCAGAAACTCGGTTTACTGGCTATCGCGGAAGTTCGGTTCCAGGGGAAGGGGACGTCTGACCTGCAGCATGTGTGGTCATTATGCTGGCCAGGCCACAATAAATCACGCCATGCCGGCGTAGGTATTCTCTTGTCTCCTAGGGTAAACCGGACGGTCATTTCTGTGGAACAGATGTCAGAGTGAATGTCCTGCTCCGCCGCATGAACGTCATACAAGCGCCGCTGGATGTCACTGCCACCTATGCCACGACAAATACGACGGTGACAGGGCAAAGACGCTTTTTTTATAACTGCTTGCAGTCGGCTGTTAGCGCTTTGTCGCGTCAAACTTTCACCATTGTCTCAGGCAACCACAACGGGAAGGTAAGGTGGGCACCGAGTAATGCACATGGACAGGCATACTCCATCTTCACTGTATTGACGACACCAGTGACAACTTT